CTGCTTGGAAGGCTGAGGCAGGAGAATTACTTGAACCCAGGAGTCGGAGGTTGCAGTGAGCTAAGATCTCACCACTGCACTCCAGCCTGGGTAACAGAGTGGGACTCCGTCTCAAGAAAAAAAAAAAAAAATACAGTGTAAAAAATACAGAATGTTAGACCTGTATTGGGCACTCACCATGAATAAAGCTTGCAGAACTGGGAAGTTGCTCTGGATGAATCTGTGAGTGGTGAGTAAATGTGAAGGCCCAGGACATTCCTGTATACCCCTGTAGACTTTATAAACACTGTACACTTAGGCTACAAGTATTTTTCTTTAATAGTAAATTAACCTTAACTTACTGTGACTTTTTTTTTTTTGAATTGTATAAGTTTGGTTGTGTGTGTGTGGTTTTTTTGTTTTTTTTTTTTTTTTTTTTTGAGACGGAGTCTTGCTGTTGGCTAGGGCTGGAGTGCAGTGGTATGATCTCAACTCACTGCAACCTCCATCTCCAGGTTCAAGCGATTCTCCTGCCTCAGCCTCTCCAGTAGCTGGGATTGCAGGTGCTCACCACTATGTCTGGCTAATTTTTGTATTTTTAGTAGAGACGGGGTTCACCATGTTAGCCGGGCTGGTCTTGAACTGACCTCAGTGATCAACTTGCTTGGCCTCCCAAAGTGCTGGGATTTCAAGCATGAGCCAAAATGCCCAGCCTTAACTTTTTTACTTAATAAACTTTTTATTTTTACTTTTTGACTCTTGTAATAAAACACAAACACATTGTACAGACAGCTATACAAAAATATTTATATCTTGTTTTTTTTTTTCTATTTTTAAAGTTTTTTATTTATTTTTAAACTTTTTTGTTAAAACTAAGACACAAGCGGCCGGGTGCGGTGGCTCAAGCCTGTAATCCCAGCACTTTGGGAGGCTGAGACGGGCGGATCACAAGGTCAGGAGATCGAGACCATCCTGGCTAACCCGGTGAAACCCCGTCTCTACTAAATACAAAAAACTAGCCAGGCGAGGTGGCGGGCGCCTGTAGTCCCAGCTACTCGGGAGGCTGAGGCAGGAGAATGGCCTGAACCCGGGAGGCGGAGCTTGCAGTGAGCTGAGATCCAGCCACTGCACTCCAGCCTGGGCGACAGAGAGACTCCGTCTCAAAAAAAAAAAAAAAAAAAAACTAAGACACAAGTACACACATTAGCATAGGCCTACAGAGTCAGGATCATCAGTATCACTGTCTTCTGCCTCCACATTGTGTCCCACTGGAGGGACTCCAGGGGCAGTAACACACATGGAGCTGTCATCTGTGATAACTTAAATGATGCCTTCTTTTGGAATACCTTCTGAAAAACCTCCCTGAGGCTGTTTAACGGTTAACATTTTTTTTAATAAGGAGATGAGTACACTAAAATAAAAGTATATAGTATAGTAAGTACATAAACCAGTAACACAATTATTATCAAGTATTATATACTGTATATAATTGTGTGTGCTGTGCTTTTATGACTGGCAGCAGAGTAGATTTGTTAATACCTGCATCACCACAAACACCAGTAACACATCACACTACAATATTACAAAGGCTACAACATCACTAGATGATAGGAATTTTTCAGTTCCATTGTAATCTTATGGGACTACCATTGTATATGTGGTCTGTCATTGACCAAAATATCATGCAGTTTATGGCTAATTACATATAAAATGTAACTTTATATGTAAGTTATAAAATGCACGTGAACATGATGTAATATTTAAAAAACAATTTATAAAATTATAAAATAAAGTTATAAATTATGTTTATATATAAAAATGCACTAGACTTTATTGGTAGCATGAAAATAGAACTCACGTTGAGCCACTCACTCACTGTTGGTTGAACAGGAGAATAATACCATATGATAACCTTTCTGATCAACAGTTTAAACCCTGAGATCCATTTTACTCTTTTCAGTCAAAAAAAGTGATTGTGGTGGTTTTCTTGAGAAAATTCCTAGACATGAAATGTCTGGGTTAAAAGTATGCACAAAAGCTTCTACACTGGTAGAAGTAGGTTGGAAAGCCAGGTGTCCGTGGGAAAGGTTTTTGTATGGGGAAGTGATAGAGGAGCCATTCAGAAGCTGTCGCTCAGTTTGTCCACAAGAGACTAAAGTCTCTGAGGCCTAGGTTTCTTAGCTTTAAAGCGGTATCTTCTCCCATCTCACAGCACTGTGAGGAGGACTTTTTTTTTTTAAGTTTGGAAAAGTGCTTTTGTAAAGTGTAAAAACCTTTGAGGCGTGGTGCAGTAGTTCTTCAAGGAGGTGTGCGATGCACTGATGTGTGGCTTCTAGCTATGGAAAGAAGTTACCTCTTTTTTTTTCTTTTTTCTTTTTTTGAGATGGAGTCTCGCTCTGTCACCCAGGCTGTAGTGCAGTGGCGTGATCTCGGCTCACTGCAAGCTCCACCTTCTGGGTTCACACCATTCTCCTGCTTCAGCCTCCCAAGTAGCCAGGACTACAGGCGCCTGCCACTATGCCCGGCTAATTTTTTGTATTTTTAGTAGAGATGGGGTTTCACCATGTTAGCCAGGTTGGTCTCAATCTCCTGATCTCGTGATCCGTCTGCCTCCGCCTCCAAAGGAAAGAAGTTATCTAATGAGCATTTTAAATTACTGAAGTTTATAGACTTATGAGAATGGGTTCAAGGTTATCTCTATAAGAATTCATTCAGTAGCATTTCAGTGTACTTACTGAGAGGGGAAAACAGAGTGTGAGTTGCAGCCAGCAGGTTGAGAATCCCATGTGTGACCCTAGATACACCTTCCTGTGTGTCAATAGCAGGAAGAAAATATTTTAGAGTCACGGAGGTAGAGAAAATAGCATGGACTTTCTCACCTAGGTTCAAATTCATCTCTGGCATTTAGAATTTGAGTGACCTGGAGGAGTAAACTCACTTCATGTCTCCAAATCACATTGTTCTCATCTCTGAAATGATCTGCTTTACTGAGTAGTTGTGAGCATTTAGCTGTATAAGCTGCACATAATAGAAACTTTTTATTTTAAAAAAGCTCATTAGCTATCTAAAAGGTAATACTCTCTGGAAGAGGTGGTTATGAAAATACATTGCTACATCAGGTTGTCCAGTCTGGAGAGGTGTAAGTGTTCAGAATACTTGAGGTTTCTTAGATTTTGAATTAATAGCTATGGGAAATGCCTTTCTCAGCTCGTAAATGCTCTGGAACTTTTCTTCATAGTATCTCATTCTTGACTAGTCATGTTGGGGGTAGTTTTTAATTATGAAAGTAATAACATGCGTCATGGTTAACAATTCAAACAATGCAGACAAAGATCAAATAAGTAAAAGTCCCATATGTTTCCATTCATACTGTGAAACTGGTTTTCCTTTTGTTTTGATTTTGATTGGTTTGTTATCTGGTGGGTTGATTAGTTTGAGTTTTGGTTTTCAAATTCAAACTGCCTTCATTTTTTTTTTTTTTTTTCAATGATTGCTTGCATCATCCAAAGGGAAAAATTCCTCTGACCAGTAACCATCCTATTGACAGAGACTGCTTCTAAACTAAACCAAGCTTCTGTGATTTGAAACACCTTAAAAGTTCTAACTACAAAGCTCACCAACTCAATATAAAACCAGATTTTAACTGACTTGGGTCATGAAAGGCTGTTAATAATAGAGCCTGCCACTTTAAGGAAATGCCATAACCCACTGGCATATGCAGAAGCTCCTTGTGCAAGGGAGGCGAGCCTGCAGGTGATGTCATAGCCCAGCCTTCTAATGCCATTTGCATAAAGAGTATTTGATTGCATGATTATATAAAGTGAGGTTTACTGGTATTTTCTTGTTTAGTTCTTGAAAGTCTAATTATAGGCCTAAGGGAATAAACCTGCCACTTGGAGAGGATTGTTGTGGCTACTGTCAGCTTCCAGGGAGAAGACAGATTAAAAGCAAAAATTTGAATTTCAAAGAAAATAATGCACCAACACAATGAAGTGACCTTTATGTCAAAATATAGAAGTTTGCCTCTGTTGTATTCTAAACTGGTTCTGCATTAAAATAACTTATCTAAAGAAAAACGAATGCCAGGCACTGTGGTTCATGCCTGTAATCCCAGCAATTTGGGAGGCCAGGCCGGTGGATCACCTGAGGTCAGGAGTTTGAGATCAGCCTGACCAACATGGTGAAACCCCATCTCTACTAAATAAAGAAAAAAATTAGGCAGGCATGGTGGCACATGCCTGTAATCCCAGCTACTCAGGAAGCTGAGGCAGGAGAATTACTTGAACCTGGGAGGCGGAGGTTGCAGTGACCCGAGATTGCACCATTGGGCGACAAGAGCAAAGATCCGCCTAAAAAAATAACAAAGAAAAATGAAGGTTCAATGTCAAACATTTTCACTTAACTTAAAGGGTTGAAATTAGTGCCCAGTTAACCTGTATCCAGAGCTGATTTTTAGCTATAGAAAGCACTATGATTGTGCCAGTGACCCTGTGGAAATACCTCTACCCAGATGGGAATAAGGTCACAGGCCTGACCCCAGTGGGTACTCCCTCAGCCACCCTGTACCCTGTTGCACCCCTTTGAAATCCAGCAACTGAAGGGGTGACATTTGGCAGAGCAGGATGCTGGCTGCACTGTGCACCAACACAGGGTGCAGGATCTACGCTGATTGGCCTGCGCCCTGCTGATAGTGAAATACTGTGTTTTGAATGTTCATCTCTATCCGCGTTAACTTCAGCTAAAGGCACATCGGTGGATAATCCGAAAACCCACATCTGGCTTTTTTTTTTTTTTTTTTTTTTTTTGAGACAGAGCCTTACTCTGTCACCCATTCCGGAGTGCAGTGGCCCAATCTTGACTCTCTGCAACCTTTGCCTCCCGGGTTCAAGCAATTCTGCCACCTCAGCTTCCCAAGTAGCTGGAATTACAGGTGTCTACCACCACACCCGGCTATTTTTCTTGTGTTTTTAGTAGAGACGGGGTTTCACTGTGCTGGCCAGGCTGGTCTCAAACTCCTGACCTCAGGTGATCCGCCCACCTTGGCCTCCCAAAGGCCTGGGATTACAGACATGGGCCGTCGTGCCTGGCCTTTTTTTTTTTTTTTAATCACAGGAATGTGACATGTGAATTAAGTGGTCAAATGTAAAACTAATGAGGACACCAAGCCTCAGGAAAAACATCCCATGTTTCTGCTTAGCTCTCTTATGTGTTACACTACCTTCCCTTTCTCTTTCTTATACACATAGATTTTCCTTAATTGCAGCCCAAGAGGATACTGCCCCATTTTGTTTTGTTCTTTTGTCATTGAGACTTTTATTAAAGTGGGTGCCTCAAGTCTTTGGTAACAGTGTTAACAGAACACTGACAATGACTTGATATCAGTCAGTGTTCATCTCCTTCCCAAGCCACTGTCTGAACACTAAGATCCTTTTTTTTTCTTTTAATGAAAGGTAAAATACAATTCTGCTCTGTGATTTATACTTCTACCAGATTTATTTTATCGACCTTTCATTAGTCTCTCAAAGATGATACACTGTTTTTCTTTGTTAAATGTTTGGGCCAGGCACAGTGACTCATGCCTATAATCCCAGCACTTTGAGAGGCCAAGGCCAGCGGATGACTTGAGGTCATGAGTTCAAGACCAGCCTGGCCAACATAGCAAAACCCTGTGTCTACTAAAAATACAAAAATTATCCGGGCATCATGGTTCAGACCTGTAATCTCAGCTACTCAGGAGGCTGAAGCAGGAGAATCACTTGAACCTGGGAGATGGAGGTTGCAGTGGGCCGAGATTGCGTCACTGCACTCCAGCCTGGGTGACAAAATGAGACTCCATCATGTTGTCAAAAAAAAAAAAAAAAAGAAGTTTGTAGGAGGAATGATTGTTTCCTATTGGAAAAAAAGCCAAATGGAGTAAGAATTTAGAGCATGAATTTCGAATGAGACCTATATTGTAGTTTCAACCTTACCCCTTCCCTGTATGGCCTTAGGCAAGTCACTCTGCTGTCCAAATCGGTTTTATCATCTGTAAAGTAGGGGTGGTGGTAATAGTTAACTCTGTCTCAAATGTGATAAAATCATTATGTGCTTAGAGCAGGGTTCCCCCTACTGGTCCTTGGCCTGTTAGGAATCAGGCTGCACAGCAGGAGGTGAGGGGTAGGCAGACAAGCGAGCAAGCGAAGCTTCATCTATATTTACAGATACTCACCATTGCTTGTGTTACTGCTTGAGTTCCATTAGTCCAGTGGCAGAATTAGATTGTCATAGGAGTGCAAACCCTACTGTGCACTGTTTATGCAAGGGATCTAGGTTGCGCACTCCTTGTGAGAATCTAATGCCTGATGATCTGTCACTGTCTCCCATCACCCATAGATGGGACTGTCTAGTTGCAGGAAAAAAGCTCAGGGTTCCCACTGATTCTATTAATACATTACGGTGAGTTTTATAATTATTATATATTACAATGTAATAATAATATGAAGTGCACAATAAGTGTAATGTGCTTGAATCACCTTGAAACCCTACCCACCCCACCAGCCCTGTCCACGGAAAAATTGTCTTCCACAAAACCCGTACCTATTGCCAAAAACATTGTAGACCACTGGCTTAGAGTATTCAATAAATGTTAGCCAAACAGCAACTGAATTTTCTGACCCTGGCAGACATGCTTCTTGAATATTTGGTGTCTGAGTTATTGGAGAGTACCAAGTGACCTTGGAAAAGTCACTTGATCTGAGTTCCAGTAAAATGAAGATAATACATACACCTCCTAGGGTTGTTTTGAGGCTAAAATGAGATAATATGAAAGCATCTGTATGATAATTTGCTCAACAAATAATTACGGAGTGCATTCCATGGGTTATAACAGTGAACAAAATAGACAATGGCCTTGGTATTCATGGCACTTAGGCAGAGCAGGAATAAGTACTGATTTTCAATCAGAGAAGGGGGAAAAGTGCCACATCATGCAAGTTACAAAATTAGAATGCAGTTCTCCCTCTGATGAAGAGAGCAGGTTTTATTCTCCACAAAATTAATGAAGCTTTCTAGTCACTAGGAGTTACAAGATTATGTCACTAGTACCAAGATAACTGGTAGTGGTTGATGACTCGCTATTTATAAACCTGGAGTATGAACTTAAGGCTGCCTTTCTGGAGCATGGGCCTGATAATTGCCAGAATGTGCTGTCTGCCTGTCGTTACCCATTCTGCTGACTCTGGTGGGAGCACATGTTAAATGAATTCTGGAATGTATCTCAAGTGATCAGAGCCCTGGGCGGTAAACCAAAGGCTCTGGGGCACAGGTGTCTTTTGGGTTTTTTGTTTGTTTGTTTGTTTTTTCTTTTTAATCCCAGTTGAAGGTCATGTCTGCAAGAGGTAGGGGAAATGAACAGATGGTGTTATACATACTATCAAATAAAAGTTAGCTTTTCTGGACCATGTTTTATGGTATTGATACTTCAAGGTTCAAAAGTGCCCCTGGGAAGCTGTTGCCTCACCTGGATTAGAAATGTAATCGATTAGGGGATACTTTTGAAAGATAAAGGGGGAGATAGCAAGAGTAGACCAGGACAGCCTTCACACCCTGATGTAGTTCTCATACCTGTGAGGGCAGAAAGGGAGAAGGAAGGAGGGACTGGGTGGGAAAAACCTCAGATTGCAGCACAGTTCTGAGAAAGCCACTGACAGGCCCATGGTGTCCCCAGGCAAAAGTTGCCCAAGAGAAGAATCCCTTGCAGGGCAGGGATGGACCAATACTATACCCCCAGTGCTAGGTCAGCAGCTGTGGAGAGGGCAGGGACCTGGACAGAGTGTGTGGCCTTAACCTGAAGACGGTGGTGGGTCTGAAGGGGCTGGGCTCCACAGCTGGCCGTCACATTGAAGGAGAGCTAAACAGCACTGAGTGCTGCAGACCCCAGTTTGAATACCATTTTTGGGAACTGTGGCATATGAAGGTAGATTCTTAGGAATCCAATGTGCAAAAACACCCACATCTAGATATTCATTCAGTACCGATCACCTAGGTGCCAGGTACTGGGGATGCAACCCTGAGCATGATAGGAGGGGCCTGCCTCGTGCAGTGTATAGTCTGCAAGGGCAGGCGCAGGGCACTGTGGAAGAGGCCAGCAGGTGGTATCCTGTTCTACACAGGGTGGTCATCACATTCCTTTTAGGAGGCCAGGTAACCTGAGCTCTGCAGGCGTTAGGAAAGCAAGGACAGAGACCTTGAGGCAGGAAAGAGGGCCCAAGTGCCAGAGTGACGGGAACACTCCAGGGGACCAGATGGCATGAGATTTAGAGCAGAGCAGGAGCCAAATGCAGCAAGGCTTTGTCAGTTACAGCGAGGCTTTTAGACTCTATTTTAAATGTGATGGGAAGGGCGGAAAATGTCCCGAGCAAGGGAGCAGTGTGGTCAGATTTACATTCGTGAAGACCACTCTCCCTGCTGTGCAAGGATCATTTGGAAGGTGGCGAGTGTGTGCGGTGGTGGGAGACAGATGAGGAGTAATCTGCAATAACAGTAATCCAAGTGGAAGATGGAGACTTGGACCTGCTGATGGCGTCTATGTATGGGATGAAAGAAAAAGGGGAATCAAAGATGCCTCTCAGGTCTGTGGCTTAATCAGCTGGTAAGGCCATATGCTGAGATGATAGAGAACCTGGGAGAAGGAACAGATTTGAGAGGAATGTGCTAGGAAATTAAGAACTCAGTTTTGGATATAAGTTTGGGATGCCCATTAGACAAGTGGCAGTGTCAGGTACATTGTACTTGAAACACGTATGTCCAGAGGCATACATGATTCTGAGAGGGAGCTTGGGCTGGAGATAATAAATTCCAGAGTTGTCAACACGTAGAAAGTATTTAAAGCTTTAGGATTGAGTGTGATCACTTGGGAAAGGATTATAGATAGAAAACTGAGGGCCCGAGACCAAGCCCTGAGGAGCCCCTACATTCAGAAGTTAAGTAGAGGAATAGGAGGCAGGAAAGGAGAGAAGAAGCAGGGGAAGGGTGTTTCTAGGGGAGCACTCAGTTAAATGACCTCAAGAGGAGGGCAAGCCAGATGAGAGAAAAGTCTCAGTAACCTGAGGGCATAGTGGGGACCTGATAGCATTTGCAAATGACTGGGGAGGATGCATGCCAGATTAGCACGTTACAGAAGGAATGGGAGATGGGAAGGTAGAAACAGCATGTATAGACCTCTTCAAAAGTTTTGTTGTGAAAGGCAGCTGAGAGATGGATTAATCGCTGGAGGCAGAAGTGACCACTGGAAGGGAATCCTAAGTTTTCATTTATTTGTTCGTTCATTTGTTTAAGAAAGAGGTTGTTATAAAAAGAACATTAGGACTAATAACTTTCATCCCACTTTGCCAGGATTAGACTCTCAAACAAAAAGGAAGAACAAAAGGTATTCCCAGCCACGGGAGTGGAGAAGGCCCGGATCAGCAGGACCTTCTCCTCAGTCAGGACACGAGTGACTGGGAGACAGGTTTTCCATCAGCACATGGAAACCCTTGGAGGTTGGACCTGGGTGGTGTCACTTAGATGTCTTCTGACCTAGATTGGAGGTAATGAATCCAAAGTTCCTATAAGAATGCTGAATGATAACCTGACCTAAACAAGGCCAGCCTTTGAGGAGTTCAATAAGAGAACCATTACAGTAGGAGGAAGAGGACTTCTCCCTCCTCAGTCAATGATGGCCACAGCTACAGGGAAGACAAGGTCAGCAGTTACGCCTCAGGGACATTAAGACCAACACTGAAACGATGTCTGTTTCTGGGCTACAGCCTCACCATTTACTGCCAATTAAGGCATCCTGACTGTGGGGCAGAAAGGCTTACTGGGTATTAGAAGCACAAAATGTCAGGAGCCAAAAATAAACTATTGTCATTTCTTTTGTAAGGGTTTCCCAAACTCTTGATTGCCTCTTGCAAGCAGATGACCTGGGAGCAAATGTTATGGCAAAATGATGGACTCCTAGCAAGGGCTGAAGCATGCCCTGTGAAGACTGTGGAAATAATATATGCTTGTCAGAGATTCGGTAACCTCACCAAGAAGACCTTAAATTGCAGTTTAAGAGGGTGGAAAAATTACTCCAGTGAAACTATAAGCCCTGTTATTGGTAAGAAAACGTATGACACAGAGTAATTGGAGTAATTGGAGAATCTCTTAATTTGCATGCAAAAATAACAGGAGGAAAAAGTAAGGAATGTTATATCTGATTTCAAGTGTGAATATGAAGCAAAGGAACTTGAGATGTTAACACCTGGAAGAAATCAAGATTTCCTAGATACCGTGAAACACAGGGCTCAGGACTGTGTACAGCAGGTGCTGGTACCCCTCCCATTACCTCTGTTCCCAAGTAATTTAGAACTTTAAGGAATATGGAATATGGAAGCCCTGAGAGAAAGGACAGCAGAGGAGCAGTATATGTCCAAAATGTCTGAAAGTGCACAGAAAGCCAGAAGCCTGCATGAAGAAGCGGGATGGAGAATATTTGTGTGGAGATGAAAGGAGAGAGACTCAAGTGATTCTACCATGGAAACACTTTAAAACCAGGGACCACAAGCCACTACCATCCATGGGCCATGTTTCCTAACCCCAGTTTCAAACTGAGAGAGGCAAGATGTAGTAAAAATGTCTTTCAGCTCTCTAGGCCTTTACTAGAATGTTCAGTCTGCTGAGTGCATTTGGTAAATTATTGACTTGACAATTTCATATCTAAGAAAATGAATGAAAAAAATGAGGGTCTACTATCTAATTCTCACGAAGAAGGAAAATTATATCATTGTAGTTTACAATTACATGTAAAAGAGGTATTGTGACTAGTAAAAAAGTGGTGTGAAAACTCAAAAAAGAGCAAAAGCTATACCCAGGTTCTAGCAGGGAGACCCTGGGTAATCAGGCAACTCACTCCAAGGTAGAATGGAGTCAGGCACGGGGATCCAGGAGACTTAACTTTAATGAGATTGACAGTGGAAAGTTCAGAAAATTATAGTTACGATTCTATGGCCAGAAACTAGAAGGGAATATGGTGCAAGAGGAATGGAACCCTAAAGAACGGTTCTGTCACACAATCACATGTAATTGTTATGAGAAAGAAGTAGCTCAGGTACCTCATTGAGTTCTCCAACAGACAAGAGGCACTCGCAGGGTACCTGAACAGCACAAGCTCCTGAAAAGCTGAGGCTTTCAAATGAGTACTGGTCAATATAAAGAGAAGTTATGTTTGGAGATCAAAAATTTAAAAAGGAGTAATGTAAAGACAGCTGACAAGAAATGAACAAAATAATGCGTTTGGGAGGGATTGGTAAAGAAAGACCTCAGAAATGCTGGGAACCTCAGAAAACGCAGCTTTGTCAGCATCTGTTTTTCTGACCCAGGATAAGATCTTTCTTTTAGATCTGCTGGTCAAGGGACAGAGCTGAACTGTAAGCCAGCCCTGGTCTGTGAGGTTCTTGCCATTCATGCCTAAGACTGGAAAGCTTTACTTTGAATATACTAAATCTTGCTCAAGGTGTAGTCTCCCATGCTTCTCAAGGCTGTGTGTCCCATTGGGTAAGGCTGTGGTCTTCAGAGTGGGAGAGCAGCACTAGAACTGCTTGGCCTGCCTGCCTGTTACAAACGCAGGTGCTGGTACCCCTCCCATTACCTCAGTTCCCAAGCAATTTAGAACCTTAAGGAGGACAGCAAGGGAGCTTCAGAAATCAGCGTTTTCAATACATTCCTCAAGTGATGCTATCCAAGATGAGACTTTCAGAACCACTGAGCTAAGTTAGCCAACACCTCTTGTTGCTCAGAGCTTCCATGAGTATATGGGCTTACAGCCTGAAAATCCCTTTTTATCAAAGCTTTGCTGCATCCTAACTCATGGAACAACAGACAAGATTGCCTATGGAAATAAAAAAAAGTTATACTTTTCTAATGATTAGATTTGCAGTAATTCTCAACTCTGCATATTAGAATCTCCTGGAGAACTTTTAAAAACACACATGTCCATGCCCCACCCCAGACCAATTAAATCAGGAACTCTGGAGTGGGGATCAGGTATGATCGTTTGCTTGTTTGTTTTTGTCTTGTTTTAAGCTTTCCAGGTGGTTCTGATGTGTGGCCAGGGTTGAGAACTACTGCTGTTGAAACTTTAGAGAAGTGTAACACTTTTAAAAGGTTCTATTCCATGTGATACCTCTTATCCTTTCACATCAACAAATAACCTCTACTTTCCATTTCTTCTTCATGAAAGATAGTGTTCTCATTTCTCAAAATTAGAAAGAATAAAACAAACATGGCTAAAAGAGAACACAATATAGTAGCTATACAAAATATGTCTCTCGGCCCTAAAAATTTGCTTCTGGGGCACTGAAAAGATACGCAGATAAAATTGCATAGCCGTAAGTTCTTAAAGCTTATGATAAATGAGAGTGGCCAAAAGACAGGAATCAAGGAAATGTCAACCCAGTTGTCCAAAAGGTGACTTATGGACAATACCAGCTAATAAAATTGAAGCTGTTTCCTGGGAAAAATTCTAGAATGTTTAATTAAAAAGATAATTTGTGAGACTTTAAAAAGAAATCAGGAAAAGTAGACTATTCCTGTTTGAGTTCATTGAGGGTTGCTGGCAATGGAGTTTAACCCTATATCTGACAAAATCACTCCAAAATCGGTGGAGAAATGTAGAATTTACAGCGGCTTGAGCAACCACATCCAAACCTTATTGATAATGGAATGATGTTTAACCTGGAGAGAGAGCTCTAGTTTCTTGTTCTGATATTCTTTGAAACCTATAGTTGTGAACCTCTTTATTCTGGAAGTGAATTTTAATGTAGAGAATTTTTTCCAAAGTGATGTTATACTCCAGCTTAGGTATGTACATATACAAACACACAGGGGACTTCAAAAAGTTTGTAGAAAAATGGAAATAAAAGATAAAAATACAAAATAAAACTTGATTTCTCAACATAAACTCCATCAAGTTCAAGACACTCTTGTGAGCAATGATACTAACCATCATTTATTCCATCTCTAAAGAACTGAGGGACCTGGGAATTTAACCATGTCAGTGCAACCTTTTATTTATTTATTTATTTATTTATTTTTTTGCATTATTATTGAAGAAAAATGGGTGCCCTTTAAAGATTTGTTAAGAAAAGAAATAAAAAGAAGTCAGAAGGAGCCGAATCAGGACTGTAAGGTGGGCCTAACATGAAAACTCTCATAAAATTGCTCTTGTTTGATGAGAGCAATGAACAGAAGCATTGTCATGATGGAGGAGGATTCTCAGGTGAAGGTTTCCTGGGTGTTTTTCTGCTAAGTCTTTGGCTAATGTTTTCAAAACACTCTCATAATAAGCAGATGTTATCATTCGTTGGCCCTACGGAAAATAAACAAGCAAAATGCCTTGATCACCCCCAAAAAGCTGTTGCCATGACCTTTGCTCTTAACTAGTATACTTTTGCTTTGACTAGAGCACTTATACCCCTTGGTAGCCATTGCTTCGATTGTGCTTTGTCTTCAGGATTGTACTGGTAAAGCCATGTTTCTTCTCTTGTTACTTCAAAGAAATGCTTCAGGATCTTAATGTTACTTGTTTCCAATTTCATTGAAAGCTCTGTTTTTGCCTGCAGATGATTCTAGGAGCAATGGTTTTGGCATACATTGAGTGGAAAGTTTGCTCAACTTTGATTTTTTCAGTCAGAATTGTGTAAGCTGAATCAATTAAGTTGTCTGTGGTGTTGACTATTGTTTCTGTTGTTAATTATCAGTCCTCTTTAATTAGGGCATGAACAAGCTGAATTTTTTCCTCACAAATTGATATGGATGGCTTGCCACTATGGGCTTCATCTTCAACATCATCTCATCCCTTCTTAAAACGAGTTACCCATTTGTAAACTGCTGATTTCTTTGGGACATTATACTCCTAAAGTTTTCATAAAGCATCAGTGATTTCACCATTCTTTCACTCAAGTGTCACCATAAATTTGACACATTTGTTCTTGCTTCAATTTTAGCAAAATTCATATTGCTCTCATAGGGGCTGTTTTCAAGCTGATGTCTTACTCTTCCGAGAGCCTCAACCTAGATTCTATTCAGACATGTTATAACAAGGTAGTATGAGTTTATTGGCAAAAAAAAAAAAAAGAAAAAATTGAAATACATGCATAATATACATTTTCCATGAACTTTTGAAAACTTCTTGAGATATACACACAAGCCCATAGATTCTTCCACATTACTCTTTTCTAAAACCTCTTCATCCCCATAATTCCATAAAATAATATATAACAGACTTGGCTTTGGCTTATTGGACTCTTAGTCCAAGTTAGTTGTTTTTCAGCTTTAACTTTGGTGACTCATTTGTGCTCAGTTCTGATTCAGACAATGGAAAACTATTTTAGCAAGAGCTGAACTGATTTTTATTCCCCTGTTGATGTCCAAAGCTCAGCCCACTGTCGTGCACTGTGCATTCACATTCTCTGTTTCGCAAGCTTTGCTGGCCAGGTTCACCAACGAACGTTAAATTGACCAAACACGTACTAAGTGCATTCTGCAGACATAACGGAAGACTAAATTTTGGAGATCTTTGCTTTCCGAACAATGCCCTGAAAAAAAAAATTTTTTTTTTTTTTTACTTCTACTAAGTACCCAGTTTTCCAATCACATGAATTTTCTGGAATATTTTTGGAGAGAACCAGATTTATTGAAGAGCTGTGTTTTTTTTACCCCAGATATAGACAAAGTTAAATTTATTCTGAGTATAAATCATCAGAGTAAGAAGGTAAGATTTAGTCAAGAAGATACATTTGTTGGACTATGGGTTCAGCTGTGTGCAACAGAGATCTAAAGTTTCAATGGCTTGAGCAACATTGAGGTTTATTTATCTTCCATGACAGTGTGAGAGTTTGCAGCCAAAGACGAGTATGGTGGGTCCATGGTGTCAAGGACCCCCAGGTATCTCCCATCTTATTGCTTATTATCTCTGGGGGATGGCCCTCATCTGCATGGTCCAGGCAGGAAAGAGGAGGATGGCAATAACCCCACCCCAGAGGCTGCACCCAGCACTTCCCCTTACACACACACACACACACACACCAGCTGCAAGGAAGGCTGGCACATGTCTTTATTTTGTACAATCGGTAAAAACAGATTCTATCAAGAGAGAAAGAGGACAGACACTGGAGAAAAACAAGTAGACTTTCCAACATATTCCTGAAAAAATTTAAATTTCAGAAGGGGCTATAGGTTGGCCAGGCAGGGAAGAATCACTGTTTCACCCAAAGAATGACGTCGAACTTCAGGTATCTAAGCCACCATCAAAAAGGCTGGTGCTCTTCCAGGTTTTTCTTTAGAGGGCATCTGTCAGGCTGGGGAGAACACTTCTCTAGGTGGCCTTGAGCCAGTGTTATTGACCCACTCAATCAGAGCTGCCCTGCAGCCTCGTTAGCACATCACAAGAACCCAGAGTGGAATTCTGGGATGGAAGAGCTGGGCAGAAAGTGGAGGGAGGTCATCCCAGTGGCAAAGCTAATTAAAAGGAGAAACCTGTTTTCCACATGCACCTCCTCAGTATGCACACATGCTGTTTTCTTGTCATTACATGCCTCACTTGTCACCAAAGCATTTTCAATCAATTCCTGGGTGTTGTTCTTATATCTTTAGATTTAGCACATTCTTTCTTTAGTGCTCCTCCCTTTTATTCCTCCAGCTGCTTAGAACAATTTTCTGCAGCATTTAAACAAACCCACATACATTCCCCTCCCCCCACTTTTCTTTTTTAAACAAAGCAAATGCTGCTTTCTTTTAACCAAAATAAAAGAGCCATACATAATTCCATCTTTTAGGTCCACATGGCAGATCTCAAGTCAAGCATTCGTTTTCTACCTGTGTAGAACTTTAATTAGTTTAAGTGAGAGGTCTGTGCCAAGAAACAGGCACCACATCACAGTTGGAATCTGCAGAGCAGATTTTTTTTTCTCTCAATAATGCTCTTTCAAACTGAATCCCGCTTGCAGTTTTGATACCGAAAACATGTGTGTTAAACAGCTACGAGTCGTTTCCGGGTCATTCGCATTAACCATGAGCTCTCCTGACAGTCTTGACCCATAACAGCAGACCTCTGTGTTTGAAGTGCTGTATGATTTACAAAGGACTGCACACGCATTGTCTCATGTCAGCTGCACACTTAGCCTGCCAGGAAATAACATCGCCCCCATTTTGGTGATGAAAAAATCAAGGCCTGGAATGGTTAAGTGGCAGAGAGTGAACTGAAACTGGGTCCAATCTGTCTGTGTTGCTAATGTAAGATGTTAAAGAACTTTACGGTTAAAAGAGAATGAGTATCTATTTTTAACAATGTGCTAAATGTTCTTTTCTTCTTTCCATGGTCCAAGATTGTCCTAAACTTTGATTTGATGTAATTATTTTCCACAATCCTCTAAGTCAGGCTTTGAAATTCTTCTCTGCCTCTGGGTCTTGGTTTGCTTTGAGGTAAGGATCGCCAGCATGGATATTTCTTATATAATCTCTAGGTCTTATATTTTAGTTTCCTACCTGAAAATTTTTGATGCCACTTTGAATCTACGACAGTAAAGGAAAACAATTTCTCATATATGCTATTTAAGAGTTAGATATTTAAGATTAAAGAAACTGTATATAAATATCACTTATCCAGAAGTCTTCTGAATATTTCATTTCTCATGGAAACGCTGGATGTTTTTAAGCAACATTATCCATTATAAAACAATTCAAAAGGGGGGAAAAATCCCACCAAGATAACAAAAACTGTGGGTTTTTCTTTTTATATGAAGTAGCCAATTTTCACGAAAAGTGCTATTAGCAGTTTATAACACTGCTAGAAATGTATTTTATATTAAAAATCGCTAAGAGCACAGTCATTGTTTTAAAGATGCTTTAGAATGGGAAGAAATGTTCAATCTTTTTAACATGTATTGGCATGTATAGGGTGTACTCTTTTAAAGAAAAATTTCAAGTATTATAAAATCCAAGAAACTTTAAAACTGTGTCATTTATAATGTAAAATTAATGCAGCTGAGATTCAGTGGTTGACTCATAGCTCCCACATTCATCTTCAGTTCTCTTTAGCTCATATGGTTTTCTTTAAAAATTAGTGATATCAGCTAAATGGAACTATTTTCCACTCCTACCCACAGAGAAAAGTGCTTTTGTGAACATGTCAGCTCTGTTCCATCATTACATGCCATCATGCAGTGCAGTAGAAGCAGGCTGACTCTGCATACTTGATAACCAATATTAGTACAGATTCGAGAGCGAAATCCAAAGAAAAATACTGTACTTCCATCTATTTATTTTATGCACATAAGCCACCCTTTGAGAACCAAGGAATTTATGTCTAGACAAGATCTTGGAAGTCTTCCAGTCTAGCCTCTTTATTTTGTACCTATGGAAACTGAGGCACAAAGAGGTTCAGCAACTTCCCCAAGGTCACACAGCTGATAGAGGTAGGCTGGGACTAGAACCCAGGTCTGTGTGACTCCAAAGTCTGTGCTTCTCCCACTATACTGCTTCACAGATAGGAGCTGATCTGCCTCAAATCCTCTGCCCCTTGGCCTTTCCACAACTCTGCATTGCTGCCATCTAACAGTGCCTTCCACTGATGCCATGCTAAAGCTCCTTAGGAGGCAGCTTAACATTGTTCTGTAAAAGGTCTACAGATGTAGGACGCTAGTTATCTGTTCTCCCCGGAAATCTTTTCAACTCAATTCTGCAAATAACTTAGGCTTTTCCAGACTAAGCAGTTCCTTCTCTCCTTCTTGCAGTTTGCTTTCCAGTTACCTTCTTCTGGACACATTCATTTCCAGTGCCCCTTCTATTAAAATGGGCCCCACTAGAATCTCTGTTACTGGGCGTGGTGGCTCACGCTTATAATCCCAGCACTTTGGGAGGCTGAGATGGGCGGATCACCTGAGGTGGGGAGTTCAAGACCAGCCTGACCACCATGGAGAAACCACGTCTCTACTAAAAATACAAAATTCGGTCCGGGAGCAGTGGCTCACGCCTGTAATCCCAGCACTTTGGGAGGCTGAGGCGGGCAGATCACGAGGTCAGGAGATCAAGACCATCCTGGCTAACACAGTGAAACCCCGTCTTTACTAAAAATACAAAAAATTAGCCGAGCATGGTGCTGGACGCCTATAGTCCCAGCTACTTGGGAGGCTGAGGCAAGAGAATGGCATGAACCTGGGAGGTGGAGCTTGCAGTGAGCTGAAATCGCGCCACTGCACTCCAGCCTGTGAGATGGTGAGACTCTGTCTCAAAAAAAAAAAAAAAAAAATAGGCAGACGTGGTGGCACATGCCTGTAATCCCAACTACTTGGGAAGCTAAGGCAGGAGAATCGCTTGAACCCGGGAGGCTGAGGTTGTGGTGAGCCAAGATCGCTTCATTGCACTCTAGCCTGGACAAGAGCGAAACTCTGTCTCAAAAAAAAAAAAAAAAAAAAAAAAATTGGCCCCACTCAAAATGGTACTCCTCCAAGTTGCTTTTCATCCTCGTATTCCCCATGGCCATTCATCCCACTGCTGTACCTCCTGTCTCCAAGTCCTCTTTGCCTTGCTTCCTTCCCTTTCAACCCACGGCATCGGAGCAGTTTCTCCCCCAGCTGACCCTCTTTCCACTTCCAGTGCTCAATATTTACCTTGCCTGTGGAAATGGTCTCTTAACTGGTTTCCTTAAGTCCCTCCAGAAATGCTTTTCTAAACTCCAACAACTGTGCAAGGTCTAATTGCCATTGGTTTATCACCCACTGGACCCAGAAGCACCATCCTGGATTCTGCTTCTGCATACCCCTGTCAGCTCTGTGTCTTTAGGGACATCACTTAAACCTTCTGCTTCACTTTCTCTACTTACAAAATGAAGATGATGAACAAGAACATCAGTCTCTAAAATGATGCCCAGTCCAAGCCTATGTGTGTCTCCCCACTCCAGTTTGTCCAACAGACTGCTTCCAAAAAAGTCTTCCTAAAACACTGACCATCTTTTTTTGTTGTTGTTGTTGGCTGCAAAATCTTTCATTTCCTCATCCCTTCACATAACTTCCAATCTTCTTGGCCTGGCACAAAGGACCTACTACAGATTGGCACTGAAATATCTTTCCTACCTTATCATTCCTTGTGCTTCTCCACAAGCCCACTCTCATGCCAAACTCAGCTGTTCCCATTCATCATACATGTGCCGACCTTTCCTGTCTCTTTTACTCTGCAGTACCAAGTGCTTTCTATTTTGTAGTCTAGGAGGAACACATGTCACCTTTGTAAGCCGCTTGAAAGCAGGGGCCACACCTTCATCCTTGTTTTCCAAACAACATCAAGCACTTAGTAGACACCCAATAAATAGTTGCTGAATGAATGTATTCAGCCTGGAATTGCACTAGGATTTTTTGGCCAACACATCGTATTCTTGACTGATACTGGACTTCCAATCAAATAAAATCCTTAAGTCTTTTTCATAGTCTTTAATTAAACTACTTCTCTTCCATTATTTCCCTTTGCCTACATTTGAACTGATATTCAGAACTTTTCTGTTAATGTTTAATTTTTATCCATTATTCTTGTCTGTACAGATCTTTTTGATTTTTGACTCTTATCTAGTTTTTTGTGGGATTTTTTTGTTTTTGTTTTTTGTTGTTTGTTTTTTTGGCTTCCCATTGTGTTATCCATAGGCATAATGGGTATATTGACTATCGTTCATTGATACAAATGTTGAACAGGAGAAAAAACCAGTAGCTTGCCAACTTGGCACCTGATTCTCTAGCTTGACAGTAATCTCTTATCTAGTAGTTTTTAGATATGGTTATTTAATCAAATATCACTAGCCCCTAATTTTGTTATAATTCATTCATGTATACAGACAGTGAAGAATCCTCTTCATTCAACACATTTATTGGGAACCAATCATTGTCCAAGGCAATATGCTAGGCATTGCGTAATAGAAAGCCATTAAGATTTTACCCCTGTCCTCTTTGGCCTGCAAAGAGCAGGTAACACTCATGTACTCATGCACAGACAAATGTAGTACCAGGTAAATTGTGAGGCCAAACACAAGAGGCAGGTCAAAGGGCTTTGGATTCAGAGGATGGAGAGGCTCTTTCTAGGCTGGTAAAATCTTTGCAGAATGAGTAGGCTCATAAGTGGAGGTGAGGTATAGGCTAGGCTGCTGCAAGAAAGAGTCCAAAATGCAAAGGATTTACCACAATGCAGTTAATTTTTCTCACAACTGTCGAAGTAGACAGATGGTCCAAGTCCAGTTATCAGCCCTCCTCAACACAAGGTTTCCACTTGTGAACTCAGGATGACCACTTCAGTTCTCATCATCTCCCAGGCGGAAAAACGAGAAAGAGAACTAGACGTACCACCCAGTCATTTTAAGGACATAGCCAGGCCAGGTGCAGTGACTCACATCTGTAATCCCACTTTGGGAGGTTGAGGCTGGAGGATAGCCTGAAGCCAGGAGTTTGAGACCAGCGTGGACAAGAAAGCGAGACC